TTTAGAAATAACTTTCTTGTTATAGGACATCATGGTGGTACTCAACAATAATCCCAACAGTTGGGAGGCTGAGGCAGGAAAATCATGAGTTCAGAATCCTTGCCTCAAAACAAAACAAAACAAGGTAATGTATTTATTTCATTATAACAGAGTTTGGTTAATAAAATTGTTCACCAAGGAGATTATTTTCTTATGCACAAACATAGCTTGGCATATGTTAAGTGATAGAACTTACAATAATGAAATAACGATGAATATGTAAATTGGAACTAAAGCATGCAGAGCTCTGTCCAGGCTCACTGTCAAGATGTTCAGAAACACTGTGAATTTATTTTTTCTGTTATGAGGAACCATCTTCCCCAGGGAGGGCGGCATAAAGCCAGATCATAGGGAATATCAAAATTCTAATTTTGTAACAAAAACCCAACTTATTATTTCTATTATTTTATTTTCTGTGTATGATTTGAAGTTTAACTTGAAGGTGAAACATTTGTTCGGAAGTTAAAGACTCAATGGGGCTGTGTAAAACCCCTCTGCCATATGACACACATGAACTGAATTACCCAGCCCACTTATCATCATTACTAAGCACTCATGCATCCAGAGGCAAGAGGCAGGAAAGAATCCATTCACATCACATAAAATACATAGGATAGATAAAAAAATCATGAGGTGTTGTTGCTCCGCAGAGAATGAGAGGCCGCCTTGGGCGATGCCACTCTGTCTGCTAGGCAGGCCTCTCCCCTCCGCTGACTCTCAGACTCTCATCTTGGCCAAGGCAGCAACGGATTATCATATAAGCTGAAGTTGTAACTGCTGGGCAGAGATTTGATGGAGCTCTACTAGCTAGAGCTTGGGAAATTAAAAGCATGAAGCAAAGTGTAGCATATTCAGGCTTCTGCCACTTCCCTGTCCTCCTTCCTGCCTCAGGTACCCTTGGTGCAGCATAGGGACAGACCAGAACCAAGTCCTGGGGTCTGAGTGAACCACGGACCAGCTGGCTGCCTCAACCCCGGGCATCTGGTGTCTGCCTGACTTCAGGTTCACTGAGAAAATTGAGTCCCTAGTTACTGTTATTTCCCTTTGTAACTTCTGTTTCTAAGAAACAAAACCCATTCCTGGTCAAGTTCCCTTGCTTCATTCTTAGACCTTAGAGGGAGGAGCTTATTTTGCAGCCTGATAGATTTCTGGGACTTAGATTCTAGTGTCCTGTTAGGAGAAACATCACAGCTAGAGGCAAACTCATCACACCAACCATGGAATGCCCTTGACACCAGGCTCCCCCTAGGAAAGACCCCCTCTGTTTGGTTTGCAGTGACACTAAGGTAAGGCATCATTTAAAAAAATCATTTGTGGGCTTTATGATAAAGCAGAGGAGGCAGAACATCTGCCATGAACCACACTGTAGGTCAGTGTGGAGCTCACTGCTGCATTCTCCTCACAGTGCCCAAGCACAATTCCCCTTTTACCCACTACCTCAGGAAAAACTGCTTTGTTACTAGGCTATGCTCATATGCTATGTGCAGACTGGAGCCCGGGAGGGAGTGTCGCCCTATCCTGTATTCTACCCCTGCCATGGCTTGCTGGCCTGTGGAATGCACTGACCCACAGGGTGGAGTTTGCCGCATAGACAGACAAATGGACACTTAAGCTGCTGAACTCAGTGTGTGTCAGCACAGACACTAGAGAAGATGCCCTGAGGCACACTCATCCAAAGTGAGAGCCCTGTGTCCATCATGAGCAGAGTCAGGTCCAGCGGGGCTCTGACTGGTTATGAGATGAGTTTTCCTTGGAGTTGTCTATAGTACTGTAGAAAGAAAAAGATGGCCAATACCTTTCTAAAGTGAAGAAATACTAAAACTGTCTAGATATCTAGTTACTCAAAATGCATCCAAATTTTGGCCTGTGGGGTAGGCTATTATACTGGGAAGAAAATCATCTTTCTCGCTCCCTCACCATGGTTATCTAGCAGCAGCATTACCACCATAACCATCACCACCCCCACCATCATCATCATGACTGGTACTGTCCATCAACATTACCACTACCACCACTATCATCATCATCATCATTACCACGACCAACACCATCATTACAATCACCAGCATCATAAATCCCATCACTATCATCACCATCATCATCATCATCATAACTATCACCATCACTGCCACCATCATTAACACCACCACAATCACCATCGCCATCACTACTATCAATGCCAGCATCCTGACTACCCTCACCACCATCATGACATTACCATCGTCATCACCAGCATCATCCATTCCTCTGATTTTAGCCTTCATGTGTTTTTACTGGCTTTCTGGAGTCGCTTTGTTGCTTGCACAATTTGATTTTGGGCTTGGCAGTTGCAATCACATGACTCATGTCTAAGTCAGTGTCAGCAAGAGCCGAAACACTTCACCTTGATAATGTAAGCAGCTCAGGTGGGTGTGACATCTGTGTAGATGATTTATGAGATGCTCAGTGTGTTTCTGAAAGTCTCCTCATAGAACAACAAGGAAGCAGGAACTCATTCTCAAACCGGAGGGTGGTGGGGCGTTCTAGGGGAGGCATCCAACCTTAAATGTAGTCACTGTGGGCAGAGGGGGAAGCCAGCTGCTGGTTTAGGTTTTCAGTATTAATGTTCTGCAATTAGAACCATGTGTAGCTCCTGCCTCACCCATGATCTTTCAGCCTCCTGGACATTCTGTTCTCTTGTGCCTTCTGGGGAGTATGGCCTAAGCGCTTTCCCCTCTCTGTGCCCTTTTAGCCTCCTCATTCCCATCCCTTGTGTATGTCATCGATGCTTAGACTGAGGGTGTTTCAGAGGGATGTCTTTCTGCTTTGAGTTGGAAGGACCTGAGAGGAGGTAGAGATACGGGAAGAGGCTGACCAGTGGACAAGGGACTTTGAGGGCTTGAGTGAAATATTGCAGAGTCAACCAAGATGATACAGAGCTCTGGACACTGTAATGGAAGAAGGCAGTAATGTTCAAGGTTCTGCCTGTTTAACTCATGGAACAGCACTAGCTTTAATAAAACAAGGCACGGTTTTGTTGCTACTGTCATCTCCAGAATGTCTGCCACAGGAGAAGTATGGAGCAGGTGGTATTAGTCTGTCCTGGGGCTGGATCATTGCAGTGAAGGAAGAGGAACTTCCAATGCATCACACAGGGCAGACTGAAGCATCTGCAACTATTAACTCACATGTCCCACCTGCCTTGGGGAATGTGCCAACACTCCTGTCCTAGAGGAGAAAACCTGGCGTTCAGAAAAGTTGAGCAACATGTCCCAAATCCACAACCTCAATAGGCAAAGTCAGATCCAAATCTGCTGGACCAGCAACCACACCTTTGGCTTCAACTAGTGGACACTTTTTAAAGTAAGCAATTATGAAGAACTGTAGAGATGACTCGGTGGTTAAGAGCACTATAAGCAGAGGATCCAGGTTTACTGTCCAGCTCCTCCATGGCAGCTCATAACTGTTCATAACTGTAGTTCCAGGAGATATGATGCCCTCTTCTGATCTCTGTGGGCACCAGAGATGTAAGAGGTGCATAGACATACACTCAGGCAAGACACTCACACACATAAAATAATCTGAAAAATAGTTTTAAACAGTAAGCAATCATGAAATGATGAAAAGAAGACTGATTTAGTTTTAATAGCATATTTAATCTAGTAAAAATGATTAAATTCAGGGTTCAGAAGTACAAAAGACTATCCAAAACAGTTGGGATCATACTTTTTTTTTTGTAGACAATGTTGACATGCGCATGAGTTGGTCAGTTCTTACCTCTACATAGATCGACTGAGTAAAAGCCTTCTGGAGTGTGTGTGCACATCCACAGGTCCACACTGAGAGGCTGGGGGCCATGAACAGTTTTCCATATAGAACTCGATGTGAGAAGATTGCCCCAGTTCTCCCCCATCTGTATTTGTTTCTTGAGAGCAGTGAGTACAGACTGACCAAGAGTCCGGGTCTGACGATGGCAGCCAGCCATACACACAGGTCAGGCCAGTCTCCCACAGCGTGGACATCCAGTTCCTAACTCATCCCATAAGGGCCTTGGATGAATCCCTTATACCCTGGAGTCCTCCAAAGAGTGACAGTGACATTCTTAGCTGCCTGTTGTTCAGTACTCTTGGGGTGATGTAGTCTAGCTGTGTCTTCCTCGGTGTGTGGTCCAGGATCTCTGCAGATGACATTGTTCCCTTCCAGGGGACCCTGGGGAGGGCTCACAGTAGGATCGAACAGGCATTTAGAAGAGAGGCAGGTGAACTGGTTACTGAGCCAGTGGGGTGGAGAGAGTCTGCCAGAGTTAGGTTTGCTCTCTGAAGGAGAACTCTGGCTGTCTGCCCACTCAGCTCCCTGGAGATTTAACAGTAGGATTGGCTCAAGCAGAGGCAAAACTCAAGCAGAAGTTCAGACTGGAGTCTGACAGAGTCTGACAGCATGGCCTCAACTAGAGGCTACTAGAGGCTAAGCCTTTGCTCAAGCTAGTGCCTGTGTGACCCATGGTGTTGAGTGACATCTCTAGACAGCAAAACATCATGGAACCGGCAACCATCGACAGGTGACCATGCATGTAAACTGCATGGCCCTGACAACTTCTAAGGATATGATAGTCTTCTGGCTTGCATCAAGAACTCTGGGAGCAAGCCAACAGAGACTGCAGGCAGAGGAAAGGGCCAGGGTATAAACCAGGCCCTCCACAAAGGCACAAGGAAGTGAAGTTGAAATGCATTCAAAACCCATCCCCACCAGCACAGATCTTTAAGGTCAAACAAGGACACATACATTGTATGTGATTAATTTCCCGAAGCCAGCCTTCCATTTTCACAGATCAAAACAGTCTGTTTAAATATCTCATTTCTACAAAGTGAATTTACATTTAAAGTACAAAGTGCAAATACTATATGTTTTTTTTTTCCTTTTTAATAGCTCTTTGTTGAGGGAAATTCCCACATGTCTAGGAACTGCCTTGGATAGTCAGCCGTTCATCCTTGTCTCCTGGGCTGGAGGGAAAAAAAAAGACAACCTTATGAAGACGCTTGTGTCTCCCTCCTTCCCTCTGTGCAGACCAAGTTGGATTCCAGAAGTAGACCTACTAGCTCTGAGGGAAACCAGACAGGAAAGGACAGAGTGGCTTAGAGTTAAGGTCGAGTGGGCGTGTTGTGTAGGAAGTGTTTTCTTCCCTTGAAATTGTCAGGAAAGTACATCACCTGCTAAAAGCTGCATTGGCTTCAGATATTGTAAATGAACTACTAGAACAGGGTAGCCACAACCTAGCCGCCGCCACCACCACCATGGACAGTCATATACCATTTAAGAACTTCCCTTTCATCTTTCTATTTACTCTTTTACCTGAGAGGGAACACAGCTTGCATTTGTGTTTATAGAAGGGGTCTTTTGCTGTCTCTCACCACGCAGACTTTCAAGGGAAGTCATTTAGATGAAAAAAAAAGCAAAGCACCCATCTTTTTTTTTTTTTTTTTTGGACAAGTACAGCAATCTTCACAAATGCAAGTTGATTTTCTTATTTGATACTTAAAGTACTAAACTTTAATATTTAGGCTGTCTTTCCTCCCTTCTAATAGCACCATGAGTAGGTGAATAACTCCCATGAAAGTTTTGTCTTAATTAGTTACAGATAAAGGTAGTCTTTGGATATATTGCAGTTTTATTGAAGATGACCAGAACTATTGGGGAAGAGGGTCGTTCTTGGCACTCATATGCAGCACCCAGAGTGCACAGCTCTGATCCTTGATGATCAAGTATGAAGCTGCCTAGAAAAATATGTCACTTTCTGATCCCTGGCTCACTGACCCCACACCATTCCATACAGTGATAATGGTGGGGATTTACTCCAGGCATTGGGTTACTATAAGAAAGATGGAGAAACTGCACTGTTCTTTCTGTCTTTTTCTGGAATAATGCTGAAGTGGAAGGTTTGGGGTTTTTTTTTGAGTGGGGGTATTTAAGATTGCATGGTACATGTGTGCCAATAGTCACCATTAGCTAGAGCAAACAGCCCCTGGGAAGCCTTTGGAGGCAGCTGGGTAATTGCTATCAGACCTGCCCCCTTTGTGAGTGTAAGTGATTTGCAGTGTGGCTGGAAAAGTTAAAACCATAAACATTTACTAAACAAAGGAAAATGAATTACACGTCTTTCCTAATGAAATGGCTTTCAGTTCCCTCCAAGGTGTGTGCCGGAGGTCCCTGCTTAAAACCCACATCACACAGTGAGCCTCAGCCCGGCATCAAACAGGTGCAGCCAAAGCAAACAGCTAACATACCAGAGTCATAGAGAACACAGTTTGCCTGGCTTTGGGAAAGAACCCTGGAAAGTGTCCCCACTTAGGCTGTGGCTGGGATGTGGGGACCACAACTGTGCCCTTTAATTGCACATCTAGAAATGTGGCCGCTGAAACACAAATGTTTATTAACACAGCAGGGAACTGAAAATCTCTTTGGGAGCCCAGCTTCTGCCTCTTTAGGTCTCCAGGTGAGTGGTCTATTTGAGGGGCACCCAAGAGTGTCTCCTGTACCAGCCATCTCAATATATAAGGAAAAAACAGCAAACACCAGCTTACCTAATCATTTCCTCCACACAGACTCAGAAACCCATCTTTAAATGAGCAAATTAATTAGAATGTCAAATAATCAAAAAAAAAAAAAAGAGCAGAATCTTTAAATTGAAGATTTAGAAGTCAGTGATTGAAGGCAGAATTTGGCAAAGAGGTTTCTTTGCTCCAAATGCTCTCAGGTGTTGCCGCCTCAGCTGAGCTGTCTGGTTTCCCTGAGGGTAGTATTGCCCCTTAACCTACATGATATTTTCTTGTATAAACCGTAATATGGTAAAGTCTGCAACACAGACATACTCACCTGTCTATTAGACGAACTTTCGGCATTTCCTCTGGGGGCTGGGAGGGGGAAAGACATTATTGCTAGTCAAATACTGCTTTGTTAACGACAGGCTCAACAACATCAGTTGGCAGACTTGGTCAAATGGCAATGTACCCATAGGGACCCTGAGCCTAGATTTGGAAGAACGGGTTTTTAAATCACCACAGAGACACTGTCAAATGACATAATGTCCTACTCCAGCATTAGAAAGCCTGTTTTACCCCAAATCCTAAACATGGGTTCACCAGACACAAAGAGTGGTCTTCCAGAACTTTCCAAGAAAGGCATGGAGCCTAAGCTGCATACCCCCCCACACACACACATTCTATTCATTTAAATATTTTAGTTCAGTACTAAAATTAGAAAATATTAGCTTTGACTCATTTTACCAAAATCTTCACCTGAAATCACAGCTGAGGAACAGGTGCTGTTTGTTCTTGGCTTGGAGACTGGGAGTGGGGATTCTGTTCCTTTTCCCAGTGAGGCACCCACTCTTGTGGTACAGACCCTCTACCTCAGGTGCCCCCTGCCTTACTCTGGTCTCTGCTCAGAGTTCTGCCTCTCACCTGGCCACAGTCCCTCCTTGGACAGGGTCTATGTGGTCCCCAAACCTTCCTTCCTACTTTGTCAGGGTCCTCTCTCACCCCCATGAGCTCCTTTATTCTCTCCTGGCCATGGACAGTTGCTGTCTATCCCCAGTGAGCTAGCCTCATCTCCCTTCTCTCTCCCTTTTCACTGTTAGTCGCAAGATAGTATTAGATGATGTGTTCCCTGGTGGCCCACAAGTACACATAGGCCAGAATACCAGATGACCCTGTCTCCTCAGTCCAGATGCTACCTCCAACCATAGGGACTCATGGGAGTTTGAATAGGTGACTCTACTTCCCCTTAACTGTAGTCTTGACCATTTCTTCCCAGGACCAGGTAGCCCCCCATCTAGAGCTGCTCTGGGGTCTCCCAATGTCCCATCTATGGTCCCTTCTTGCAGGCCAGCACCTGCACTAGCTCTGCCTCCAAAGCCTGCTGTGAGTTCATGATTCCCAGAAGTCCTCTGTCCCATGCAGATGTCTCCCTCATTCCAAGAAATGTGCTGACCCCAGTTGTCCTTTAGGAGACATTCCAACTGTGATCTGCACCATGTAGCTTCCTGAAAGGCAAAACACCACCTCTCTCTCTCTCTCTCTCTCTCTCTCTCTCTCTCTCTCTCTCTCTCTCTGTGTGTGTGTGTGTGTGTGTGTGTGTGTGTGTGTGTGTGTGCCCCCACTACATGCCATGGGTACATTATGTAACTAAATCAGGGTCCAGGCTAGATTTCTATCATTGAGAGGTGATTTTTGCTAATTTCTGGGAAGATGGCTCTTGGTTTTAAAGATGGCTATCCAAATTCCCTTCAGCCAATTACTGTAATGCTCTTCTGGCCAAAGCCACACTACTCAGAGGTGAAGCTAGCCACCAAATCACAGAATTAAATGTCAGGACCATAAGCTCCATCCCGCCTGGGATTCCCTCCACTCCTGTAACATTTGGTGACTTAAGCCAGGCCCCACAGAGACACATATCCAACTTCGAAGCCAGCTAAATCCACGGGGAGAAGTGATCTCCTAGAGGTTATTATTTTACTGCCCCTAACTTGGCCTGAATGTTCCAGTGGAGTCTGTGGACTGTGATGGTCAGTTATTGACAATGGTTCTGAAACCAGGAGCTGAGGCATGTTTAACAGTTAGCCACTGTGATTAGAAGAGTAGCTGGTTTGGCTTCAGAGCTATACTCATTCACTTTCCTGGGACTTGCTGCTCTCTTGACCAGGTGACAGACTGCTGACTACCTGTTGTCACTTCTATATGGGGGACAACAACCAATGGCATACCATGTTTCTCCTATATGACAAACGGTAAGGCAACCTATTAAATCCAGGAAGCAATCCCATAGACATGAGCCCCCAACATGATCAAAGTCAGAGTAGTGAAGTAAGACTTACTGTGGCGCTTCCTGGTGTTGGCTTTACCCTCCTCTCTGGTGACACCCAAGCAACCCATCAGCTCCTGCACAGTAATGGACTTGTCGTTGTTCACATCACAGTATTCCACAAACTTCTTCACACACTTTTTGGGCTTGGATTTCTTCCGAAGGAACCTCTTAAAGGGCTTGATCTCCTTCTTGCCAATGTCCCCGCTAGCGTTCTTATCAAGGAGCTTGAAGTACCAATGCACAACCCTCTCCTCCAGGGTGTGGCTGGGGTCTGGCTCTGATAACCTACAGGGGAGATGACCATGTCAGGCAGAAAGAAGTCTGAAGCTGTTGTACCCCTGGCTCTGGCTCCCTTTCCCTATGTCCCCAGGTCAGTACTTGATACAGTCACTCTCAAATACAAGACAGGGGAGTAATCTTCAATGGCTCAGCCAGTGCGTTCAGAACCAGGGACACCACAGCAAGTTTGTGCACTGTGGTTATTCAATTGGTTGAGGTCTTGCAACACAAAGGTCGCTGTCCTGAGACCTGGGTTCCCTTAGGCCAATAGGTGGGCTCAGAAACCAGCATCCACCAAGGGCACCTAATGAAATCATTTCTCATGTAAGATATACTTAAATAAGAAAAGTTAATGGAAGGTGACATAAAAAAAAATTTAAGTTGTAACTAGACAGTTTCCTTTGTAGTTTTTTTTTTAAAGCTGGACATTCTAAGATACAGGTAAGTCAGGCTGTGAGTCAGACCTTGAAGCTGTGTGGTGACAATGCTCACCTGTCACCTGAGGAGCTCTGTGGACCCCACTGTCCACAGATTTAGATGATCATTCCTCCCTGAGAGTGCAAACATGGCAAGCAGATACTGACAGCCCGCAGGGACTGAGCTCCCTGGCACTATCCTGGGTCAGGCACTCGGAGGGCATGTCAGTCACCTCATGGTATGAAATATAAAGTTGAAATTTAGGTAACTTATTTTGCCTTAGCTTATCATCTAATTATGACATTTCACCTTGGTATTGTCTTCTTCCCTTCACCTTCTTTAGCAAAAGAATGGCAATGTGAAGGGCCTTTTGCTAAGGAGACTTCATGCATTAGACAGCCAGGAGCTTGCTGGAGGGTGGGATAGAAACCAGTATTTACAGGAAGATAAAAACCTTAAAATAAAAATGGCTTTTAAAAATACAATGAGATAATGTGAACACATGGGGTGAATTTATGTGTTGACGTGCCACAGCTGTTTGAAGATGGAGGTTTCGGTCCTGCCTGTTCCCACAGCTGCTTTGCCCCAAATAAACACACAAAGGCTCCCCACAACCCAAGAGAGTGCAAGCCAGTTCCCCCTCTCCCTTAATGGGTCAGATCTGCACCTGAAACCACGCCCAAAGGGTGTGGCCACTACTACAAGTTCACTGGCAAGGCAAGATGCCACTACAGCTGTTGACCTGGAGAACTCCATCACCCTGTACTGTGACAGGCACTGCGGATTCTAACACGATACAAAACTCAAGCCTTGATGTGTCTACAGTGTGCACAAGGAGAGTATCTCTAGGGCAGAACCATATCGGTAGGATCAATGGCCATGAGTTGTACACTTGAACTTTGATAAGAAGATAAGCCTCATGTGCCATGTAGGTTTCAACAGTAAATAAGTCACAGCACTTGGGAGGCAAAGGCAGGCAGATCTCTGAGTCTGAGGCCAGTCTGGTCTACAGAGTGAGTTCCAAGACAGCCATGGCTACACAGAGAAACCGTGTCTTGAAAACAAAACAAACTTTTTTTTTGTTTCAGAATTCCAAAATATTTAAAACTCCATAGATTGCCAGGCATTGGTGGCACATGCCTTTAATCCCAGCACTCGGGAGGCAGAGGCAGGCAGATCTCTGTGAGTTCAAGGCCAGCCTGGTCTCCAGAGAGAGTGCTAGAATAGGCTCCAAAGCTACACAGAGAAACCCTGTCTCGAAAACAAACACACACACACACACACACACACACACACACACACACACTATATCCACGCAAAGCAAGTGCGTTCCCATTCTTAGCCCTCCCTGGACCCCAGGGGGCCCTAAAAAGTGGGGGCTGTTCCCAAGTGTCTTCTGGTCTAGAGGGGCTCCTTTCTTCTAACTACATCCTAGTGAACTGCCTGGTCTCACTTGGCCACTGGCCAGGAGGACTCAGCTTTCCAGATCCCTTCAAATTCCTGGGCTTCTGGCCAGCATATTGCTCTGCAGCAGGACACAGCATACCTGCCAGAAGAGGAAGAGGGGTCGGAGACGGCATGAACCATGTCTGTGGAGAGTGCATCCAGGACACTTGTCAGAAACTCGTGCTTTTTGGCACCAGGACAACCTGGAAAAAAAAAATGCACATTTTTTCCCTCTGTTAGTGGAATCCATAAAGTATAACAGATTTTTCAGTGCAATGGAAAAAAAAAAAGATTTGGCATTCAGAAGTTAGTATGTTAGACTGCTTCGTATGAATGAGATGATTTGATGCAGACACTTTGTATAAATGTCACTGGCACTCTGCAGACTCGGGCACTTGGTAATTCATAGGTGAGGACCTTAACTCACAGCAACTATTAACCATGGTATTCAGCATTTGTTGAATTGTGACATGAAATGGAGATCTCAGGCTTTAGCTGCTTGTTGGTCTCTGAAGCCACAACACAAACATGTATGGGTAATCCCTTTGTTACATGTGACTCTTGGAAACATCAGGAAACACCAAGTTCTCCCGACTGGGATCCACATAGGGAGATCTAACCAAGGCTAGTGATCTAACCACCAAGACAGGTCTCCTGGAACCCCACATCTGGTTAGAAGCAATCTTTGGAAGATGTGTGGTTGCCTCCTTAGAGGAAGATCAGATCCAGAACATCAGCTCAACACATATCAAGTAAAAAGGGAAAGGGAGTTCACACCCTTGAGCCCCAGACCTGACTATGTAGGATCACTGGGCCCAGGAATAAATCACTAATTCTTCCATCTAAAGCTCAATTTTCCACAGAGCACTTCCCATGCATGGTACCTCTTCTTCACCAGCTTCCTTTTATTCAGCCCCACTTTGGGATCACTGGACTCTTCTCTATCAAGCCTACCCTGAGTTGTGGTGGCTACACAGAGAGACTAGCATGCTGATGTGGTTAAAGACACTCTGGTTTCATGGTTTTCCTTTTGGACACCTGGGTTTTTGTTACTATGATTCAAGTAAATGCTCGCTGCCTGTGGCAAGGATCTGTGGAGGTCTGTTTCGACTTATTAAACATTGTAGCAAAAAACAGATGTGAGCCTTTCATAGAGTGTGTGGAACTTGAGAGCAGAAAGACTGTGTATCTATCTCTTCTGTGCCCAATTAAAAGAATGGATTACGATCTATAGGAAAAGCCATAACCACTGGGCGGAGGTCTCTGAGAAAATGTCCTGTATCCCCTGAGGCATTCCCCTGTAAGGAAACAGAAGCTTGAGGTGGCAGAGGCTGAGGGTGGAAGCTGTCCCTGATGGACAACTAGAGATGACACCATCATCAATGGAAACAGAGGGCAGAAAAGATGTAGCAGGCCCATCTGACATGTTTCCCAAGTGCCAGCCTTATAGCCAGCTGACCCAAGATAACTACAAGGTAGAAGGCATCCTGAGGGAGTGTAGTAGACCTGTGCAAAACCCTGAGGTGCACCCATGAGCTCTGGGGCTTAGCCTCAAGAGACTCAGACGGTAATGTGGAGAAGGTAGCCACTGGTCATATTCACTCAGAGAATTCCATTGAGGAGACTCAGATGGTAATGTGAAGAAGCAGGGGTTTGTCACAATCAAAATCAAGCAAGATCCTTACTTGGGGTGGATGCCTTGGTATGAAGTCCTTATTTCATTTTGCTGGAGGTAACTTTGATGGCCATTTACTTTAGACTCTGGCACCTATGGATGTTATAGTTTTAGGGCTATCAACAATGGAAAAGGAACACTGTGTCATCTCCAAAGAGGGGAGAAGGAAGGACAATTGGTGGGATTGGCTGGAATGAGGGCTGGAAGGCACTTACAGGCAATCTGAGTTGGGAGAGTGAGGGGGTGTCCCCTGGACATACTAGTTCAGGTTCAGACCACTAGTGCAGATGTGAGAAAGACAGTCACAGGAAGGGCCAGAGATGCCTGTAGGTCATAAGTGTCACCATGTGTTGCCTTTCTCACCAAGTACCTTGATCTGACTGCTCCCTGACAGAACCTGATAGCCTGGGCAATGTTGCTTCTGAGACACATCATGGACTGCAGTATACATACGTTTGTTTCCAAGGGCCAGGACAAACAGATGAGAAACTGGAGTGGCCAGAAGAGAAAGTTAAAACAACCCATTGCTCTTGAAGGTGATGCCTCACCATACATGAAATAAAGCTGCATCATGGTGCTGAAAGTGTGTCACCAGGGAGATGCAGTCTGGCAAGCATCCAAGAGGACTGACCTGGCTTGAGATAAAAGGGCAGTAGCCCCACATGGCCTCACAGCAGTCTGGTGTTGTAGGCAGAAACCTCTGAGCTCTGCAGATATGGGTTCCCATTCCTACAATCTTAGCCTGTCCAATAGCTCACGAACAGTGAGCCCTTGGGTTCCTCTGCAACTTTAAGTCTCTATCCAGACACAGGCTGACAGGAAACATAAGATCAGTGGGTAATGCTTCATGCTTCTCCTCTTGATCAGCTGCCTGCCTTGGGGACTGATGGCTTCCAGGAATACTGGTGCTCCAGGGTGAGTGTCAGAATTAGGTATGTGGGTCTTGATGTAACAGGAAAGTCACTTTACTTAGAGCTTGCGCTGCTAGAAGGATGTTCTCCAAGTAAATGCAGAGTTGAGTGAGTTCAGAAGTCCTTGACCCCATAGTCACTTCTCCAAACAACTCATAGTCAATGCCTTAAAAAAGTCACTTTTAAAAAATCTTTCAAAACAAATATGTTCTGCACTCCCTATGAAACATTCTCATTAAAAAAAAAAAAACAGGCTTCTTTTATTTAAAAACTACTGATTTCAGTAATTTTGCTTATGCTTACGATTTTCCTCCAGCATGGATTTATCCATGTTCATGATGACTCCCTTGATTGCAGGGCAAGCATCCTCTACAGATCATCACAATGAATTTACACTTTCTCCCAGTGACCTACATGGCATGCCTGGCTACCGCAAGGAAACCTCACACAGAGGCAATGAAGGCAAAGAGCAGTTTATGGAGAGAAGAGGTTGTGAAATCCTAATCTGGGTCTGTACCCATGCTGGCTAGACACGACAAAGGTGTTAGCCCCAGGCCAATAAAACACTGTGAGATTGGGGCCAGCCATCTGGGTAAACACCCAAGCCTTGAGTTGCTTATTTCAGAGACCTCATGAGTGTGATGTAGTTTGCATTTTGGGCTTGTTGACTCTTGCTGAGTCTAGTTTAAATTGTATCATTGCTACCAATTGAACTGGACAGACAGCCAAAATGTCTGTCTCTCTATAATGACTTTTCAGTAAGGAACTGGCAGGGTGCTGTTTTCTTTAAGCTTAGAGTTTCCTTGAGCATTCTTGAACAAGAACTTCCAAGGACTAACAGATCTGGGGCATGGTGGTATTGTGATGCTAGCAGAGGTCAGATCGTAGCACCCAGCTCATGGCACAAAGCGTTACACTTGATGTTTGAACCCACTTCAACACACAGTTTCTCCTAACTACCATGCCAGCCTTGGTCACTCTAAAGCCTTGCAAAATTGATGAATCTGTTCATACTGAGAAAGAGAGACACATAAAGACACAAAAAGATAGAGGCTTGGCACTTACACCAACTTAGTGAAAACCTGAAAGTGGTTGGTCTAGGAAACCATGACCAGACTGAACTGGAGGAGGCCAGTGTATGGACCCTGTAATTGAACAAGGATCAAGACCCCTCTGTTCTCCTCACTGCTCCTAAGCCCACAGTGATAGGAATGAGAGACCAGATGTAGCCTCCCTGGACAAACACCCCAGCATGGATGTGGTGGGAGTGGATAGAAGCCCTCAGATGACTTCAAACTCCTTGCTGAGGGGACTGGAGTGAGGAAGGGAAGGGGGGCAACCTTGTGAGCAGGCAAGAGGCTGCTGTGAGCCAAGCCCAGTTAGTACCTTTTCTGTGCCCAAGGAAGATTCCACCACCTAGGATGTGGGGAGTTGGGAAATGGGCTTGGCTGAGGTGCTTGGGACTTTAGCCATTAGTAATGATCCAGGGTCACATGGCCTCTGAAACACGAGGTTGCAGAGATTCCTAGAATGTAGTAACTGTTCCAGAATAACTTGCATCTCCTCCTTGTGTCGCCACAGGCTCATTCAGGGTGATGGGGACCCGTTCCCCATCAATCCTCCGCTGTCTTTCCTTATGCACATATCATACCTTCTTAATGTTTCACCTCAGGCCTATGAAAAGAATCAAAACATAGGCACAGGCAACCAGCAACCACTAATGGACTAGCTTTCAGAGAGCCTCCTGCCATTTGAAAGGCTTGGGAGAAGACGACTGAAGGAGACTGTTTTACCATTTCCCTAGGGCATCAAGCCTGGAAGAACAGAGTGAGGGGAGAGTTGTTACTACATTTTCAAGTCACTAAACTCTTCTCTTCTCCTCCAGGCTGTCACTCAAGTGAAAAGACCCAAGCAATTCCAGGACAAGAGTTCAGGAAAGTGGCAAGTTCTCTAAAAAAAATAAAAAGGACTATGCCTGTGTGACCCATTTCTCTGGGACCCAGGCAATGTCTTGTGTGAGTTTTCTGTCTCACACCATATTGCTACACAACCACTTGGATACATAGGAAGCTCTTCTAAGACCACAAGCTCCCAGGCTTTTGGCTCTCTGCACTCTAAATTGGTGGGGCTGGGTTTGTGGTTCATCATTAATGGTGCTGATCCTACTTAGGTGTCCTTCTTGTCTTAATAAATTATTAAGACATCTCATTCTTAATAATCAGCTCAAAGCCTCAGTGTGCTCAGGACATTGTCTCCTTGGTTCCTCTGATGAGGGTTTCCTCCCCATTCCATCCCATACAACACCATTAGCCCATTGCATCCCCACCATGAATCCCATCCACCAGAATACCTCACATGCCAGCTCCAATCTTTATTGGTGAGTAGCTGGGGATGGTGCTGGTTGCCTTTAGAAAACCACACCTAGCTCTATGCGTTTGGATTCTTCCTACCTTAGAAATCTTGGCAAGGAAGACCTGCTGATGGAAGCCACCCAAGCAGTATCCTCACTGCAGAGGAACAAGTTGCTCCAATCTCACTATGATTCACTCAGATCCTGCCCCAGAGAACTCAAAAACAGAGACTCAAGGCTTGCCTGCGGAGTAGAACTGGATGTTCT